TCTCTCTGTCTCTGTCTCTGTCTCTCTCTGTCTCTCTCTCTGTCTCTGTCTCTGTCTCTCTCTCTCATGTGTATAAGCCATGTGGGTGGGCTCACCTCTGTGCATATGTTTGTGGAGGCTAGAGGATAGGTAACTTGAGTGTGATTCCTCAGGCCTGGCACACATTTCTTCTTTCTTGGTCAAGGTTTCTCACTGACTGAAAGTTGTGGGGTTAGGCTAGGTTGGCAGCCAGCAAGCCCCAAGGAGCCGCGTGGCTCTGCTTCCCCTGCCTGGTATTATGAATGCATGTTGCCATTCTCAGCTATTTACTTGGGTTCTGGAGATCAAACTCAACTCCCGAGCTTGCAGAGAACCTACCTTTACCAGTTGAGCTATCTCTTCAGCCTAGATTCTCCACTTTTTATGGAAAAGTCATATAGAGCTGGGCATGGGGCTCACTGGTACATTGCTTGCTTATCACACCCTGAATTTGAGCCATAGCATAGTAAAATGAAACCAAAATGGAGGGCTATCAGGGCCCAAGATGCCTATAGGTAGTGTTGGCAAACACAGTATTTCATTACATAATGTCTTCTAACAGTTAACCATACTTAGTACCAGACTATATCCAGTAATGGAGGTCTTATCTCTAGGAAATTTACATTCTCAGGACAAATTACTGGTTCTCACACAGTTCTGGATTGTCTGTCTCTGTCAACCAGGAACAATGAAGATGTTTTAATTCTTGGACTAAAAGATGTATTGCAGAAAGATACAGGATGGGCTTCCACCCCAGGTTAATGTTATAGTTGACATCAGTTAGAAGGTGAAGATTAATGGTAGTTAACTGAAAAGAATTAAAGAAATATTCTAGTTTATTTATATTTTAGAATCTAGCAGGATATGGTAGTATATGCCTATAATCCCAGCACTTAGGAAGAGGAGGCAGAAGTTCAAGGTCATCCATGGCTACATAGCAGGATTAGGGCCAGTCAATCTTAATAAGTCCCTGTCTCAACAAACAAAATAAAAACAAAAACAGTCCCCCAGACTTCCATTGAGTGGATATTTTTGTTGAGTCATAACCCATGTCATCAAGTGTACATACTTTGTTGGCCACAGTAACTCAGTCTTTGGACCAAGTTCACTTCAGAGTTGGGCCTGAGTGTCACTGTGGACAGAAGTCATGCCCGGAGTGGGGAGATGGACTCCCTGTCCACAGTCACCAGCAGTGAGTCTCTGTCCATTTCCTAGGTGCTATTAGCCTCCTTCCTGGAGATGGGAAGATACATCATGCTTCTCTTAGAGACAAGTTTACAGGCTTATAAATGGAGAACAGCTGGTGTCCAGAAACTTTTTTGGTATGAATGGAGAAGGAGGGAGAAAGGCTCGGGAGTTTGGGGCTTGGTCCTAACCCCTGAAGCATCTCCTAAGCACAACACTGTATATGTTTGGCCTGAGTCACTGTCACCCCAGGCCAACAGTGAGTACTTAGTAAGACACCTTACCCTGATTATGGGGGAGGCTCATTTCTGCAGCAATACCCCCAAACACTGGCAGCCCCTGCATACTATTAACCTGAATTGGCTCCAAGGAGAAATGTCCGCTTCTTTAGACCCCGACCTTTTCCTGTTGCTTCTTTGTGAAGCAATCATCACTGCTCCTTCATGAAGGTGGTACGGCATGCCAGGAAATCCGTTGACCCATGGAATACTGCAGCTGCAACCCAGCCATGGTGGTAGTTAACAGGGCAAACATCCTCCAATTACAGGTGCAGGCATTGTTCCACTCAGTTCAGATGAAAGGGCCAGGATCAGTCTTGAGGTGTGTGTTAGTGGTTTCATGGTCCAGATATGCCTCACATGTCATGAATAAAATCTAGAAGCATAGAAAGGGGGCAGGGATGAAGAATACAATAAAAAGGAATTTTATGATCATTGTGAAAAATTTATGGAGTGTCTCTCTGTCCTGGTATATCATAAAATGGAACTGGCTTCAACTGGCCCAACAAGACAAATGTATACTAACTTATTGAACCATCAGGCTCCTCGCTTTCTAGTCCTTAGTGTTTAGTGTTGAACAAAATGCCTTTTGTTAAGGCATTTTTCCAGACCACACTGCTATTGACTGAAATTCCCTGCCCTCCCAGCATGGATGAGCACTCTTTGGGAGTGGAGAACCAGCAGGCCAGTTAGCCTGGCTATCTAGACATACATTCTCCATTCTGGAAAGAGCTCACTCACTCATAGCTCATTGCCAAAGAAGGGAAGGGAAAGCTCAGCTTTCTTTTAATTACTCTGTAGAATGTACACATATAATTTAAATACTTCTTCTTTGGCCCAGTGTTGCCAGTAGTAGAGTCCTAGGGTAGGAGCTTAGCACCTTGCTGACTGCAACCTGGTTTGTGTTGATTGAACAACACATAGCACTTTTCTTGAGAAACCCCCACTATGGTTTCAAAACACATCAGTTTCAATTAAACACCAAGGAAAATGTGATAGCTAAAATTTGGGGCTGCCGTTACTCGTCATGGAGCCGGCTGCACTGAACTGGAGAATTTTATGGGACTTAACCAAATCACACATAATCATGGATATTTTTCATTGTACTTGGAGTGACAAAATTGCCAAATGATGTACATTGTGGCTTTCAAAAGAAATTACCTGCTGGGTGTTGGTGGTGCCTGCCTTTAATCCCAGCAGGCAGATCTCTGTGAGTTCAAGACCAGCCTGGTCTACAAGAGGTAGTTCCAGGACAGCCTCCAAAGCCACAGAGAAGCCCTGTTTTGGAATCTTGGTAAAGAAAAAAAAAGAAAGAAATTACCCCTGCAGCTATATGCCTCAAACATTTAAAATAGGGGGCCATGGAGCAGGATGAGTATCAAACAGAGCTCCTGACCCAATAGTAAATGCCTTCAAGGTGTATGTGTCTCAAAAAACTAAAGGGGGGGATCTGAATCTTTTTCACTATAAGGATATAATTGTTCCAAGAGACAAACAAAGATAAACATGTTTAATTTGACTTTACATTACATGGTGCATATATGCATTGAACATCACATGGTTTGTTTGTATGACTTTATGTGTTAGTTAAAATAAACTTAAAGTTTAAAAAAACATTAAAGGAGTAAAAGAACACATAGACCTCATTCTGTTTTGATAGATAGTGATTGGTTAGCATAGTCGGTTTATCTTAGTATTGTGTTTACTATTCATAAAGAGTAAGATACTAAGTTCCTTGCTTGTTATTACACATATATTGTTTTCAACTCAGTTCTGCTCACAATTGGAAGTGATTTTTGTAATTGTGTATACATCAGTTTTTGTGATTCATTAATGGAGAAAAGGCATACTTTATGTGATACTTTTAAATATTGAATGAGACAGATGAGTTTTAGTATTTAGAACAGTGGTTCTCAACCTTCCTAAGGCTGTGACCCTTTAATACCATTCTTCATGGTGTGATGACCCCAACTAGAAAATTATTTTTGTTACTACTTCATAATTGTAGTTTTGCTACTCTTATGAATTGTAATGCAAACATTTGATATGTGACCCCAGAAGGGGTCATGATCCACAGGTTGAGAACAACTGATTTAGAATATGAGAACAAGTGAAACTAGTCCTTCCCAGAACCCGCAGGAACCATTTCATACAGAGGAAAACTGCTTGGTTACCTGAGCCCTGAGTGATAATGCCTGCCAGTGCCTCTATGGTCTTGCTACCTCCTTCACAGCTAAGAACATCACAGACTGTGTCCAGCAGCCACTCACAGATGCCTCAGGGAGTCACTGGTGCATGAGGAAGACCAGTGACATCATCTGTTCTCCAGACTGTGGGTAGCTGAGGCCTTTTGAGGGAACAATGTGGCCCTGTCTACTCTCTGGGATCTGGACAATTTGACTCTAGGATACACAGGACACTCTTTAGGGTTTTGATACAGGACTCAATTTTAGGGCATCCTGATTGGGACTCCAAGAAGTCTTAGAGTTGATTCTGCTGCCCTAAGAGGTGCTGCTTGAAAACTATCGATGAGATAACAAACAATATGAATTGAGAGGAGGGAAAAGGAAAGAACTGGGGGCCTGGATCCTGACTCTGCTGAGATTGCTGAGCCATTCCAGCCCCCACAGAGTGCAGAGAGTGCAGAGGTGAGCTGATTTGGCTCCTACCTTGGGCCCAACTTCTGCCTGCCCACCCTGGCAAATCCCACCCTGGGATCTGCAGGCAGACTGAATCAGTCCCTGAGGGCCCTGGGATCCTGACTCTACTGAGATCGCTGGCCTATTCTGGCCCCCACATAGTGCAGAGAGTGCAGAGGGGAGCTGCTTCAGACCCTGCCTTGGGCCCAACTTCCATCTGCCCACCCTGGCAAACCCTGCCCAGGGATCTTTGACAGGACGACTCGACCCCTGAGGACCAAGCAACCCAGAGTCTGCTGACATCTCTGTGCCAGTGCTGCTCTCACCCACCTGGAGAGCAAGTGCCTCAGACCTGCCTGCACCCAACTTGAAACCCATCAGAGTATCAAAGTCCATTGCACACCTGAACCCATACATACCAGGAAAGGAAGTGACACCACCT